CATGCTAACTTTAACATTTAAACAAGTTAGACTAACATGCTTAACTAGCTAGTGTAAGTACCACTTGGCGCTGGTCGCTTTAAATTAAAGAGAAGAGAAATAACTACCCTGAAGAGAGAAACGCTGGGGAAATACATGCAGGATAACACATTATTCAGCCTGTGCCCATCTCACAGATTGCATCGACAGAAATAAGGGACATGAAACCAGAGGCTCCCTCCGCACTGTCTAAGGGTTGTCACTAGGATTCTCTGGTGGCATCCAAGGACGCAAGTACCCCAGATTGGCATAATCAGAACTGTCCCACCCGGGGAATCCACAGCACCACGGGCACTCGGAAGCCCGCCAAGCAACAGGGCTCCCCCCTTACAGAGTCTACGGGTCAGCTACCTCCTGCACCTCCGCTATGCCGCTGGTGTCCCAGCCAGGAACACATGTAGCCCCTCCATGCCTCACCCACCGCCAGCCTCCTCTCTGAGACAGGGCACACTTGACCTCACAGCCACCGGTCGGCTGGAGGCCTCGACACCCCCCAGCTGGGCTCTCAGCGATAGTGACAATATTCTCCAGACCCCCCTCAACATCGAGCAGTCAAGGCTCACACTCTCAGCCGCCCCTCCGAACAGGAGACACTGCACCCTCTGAAAGCCACTCGGGATCTTGGAGCTTGGATGCGACAGACCCTCTGCCAGGTAAGGTTGCACCTCAATTCCACAAAGTGGTAGCGGCATTAATAGTAGTAGCATGCTTGGGACAGTGGTCTGAAGTAAGAAGGCCACATCTTCAGCGGGCCCTGTTGATCCGCTAAACTTGTGCAGTCATGGAGTGATGGACCAGGGGGCGGAGCCGAGTCTTCCCCATGAGTGAAACTGCCAGCGCACCGTCCTCATTTAGCACTCCGTGGAATAGGCTCACACGTGGAGGTAGGCCGCAGTCATCGGTTTTCATACCTGGATATGAAAACAACCATGCTGGTTCCGGGTTGCTTCTAGGGTATTCCCCTCAACCATGGGTCCAGAAGTGGTTGCTGTAAGTTATTTATGTTCTTTTTTGGGGTCCAGAGCCAGAGCTGTATGTGTTAGCGTCTGGTCAGCCCAGCCCTGCCCCCCAGTCCTACACTACTATTAACATGGGAGACAAAATAAATGGTTCTAGTAACTAAAGTGTATTTAATTAATCTGTTGTTAGGGCATTGTGACTATATATAATGCATAATTAATGTGACAAAATACAAAATACAAAAAAATACTGTATCAAAACTTAACAATTAAAGTGATAGTGCTTTGATGATATACTCACAATGCATATCACTTGAAAATTATAATTAAAGTGACATTGCTATCCCAAACCTCCAAATACATTCCTGTGGTTACCTCCAAAGGGATATCTGAAGCTGGGTGGTGGGGTGCTCAACCCAAAAGGAATCTTGTCTGAACTCCAATCATATGTAGTATCACATTTTTTTGTATACATATTTCTTATTTACAGAGACACAAGCTCTTTACCCTGTCTGTGCTTCATCGAATATTGACAATTTTCATTACCAAGTTAGTATTGTACAGTGTGAGATAAATAAGGTTTAACCTTTACCATTGTCCTTAAAAAAATGTGTGTCAGTGTTCAATTTAAATTTTTCTGTAAGTCTAAGGTAAATCAGTCAGTCCAAGAGTCTCTGGATAAACATTAGGATGGAATTTGATGCCTTATTCGCTTCTGTAATATGTTTTGCTTTCTCATCCAATCTGTGTTAAACACTGCTTTGGGTTTTGGGCAGTGTCACTCTATCTGTTTTTCATTTTGTTTGCGAGATATTGGTGGCATTATTTGGTAAGCATGATGTGAGATTGATCACAGAGTTTTCATTTGCAGTTGTCCGATCTGGTTATGCAGTTGAGCCCATCTGTGCTTATCAGCGAGAATTTCAATCTTCATGGAGAAAAGGCTCAATTATTAGATACAGTAAAAGAGACAGAAACTCATGTATGAAGATAAATGAATATAGAAAAAAAACAAGAAAAGAAGAAAAAACTAGATATAGATTATCTGTAACCTATATCAATATGTTTCATTGTTCTCTGTGAATGACATAGCATCATGAATAATATCTATATTGAACATAAATGATTATATATAAACCCTGGCTTCAAATGTTAATGTTCGAGAAGGAAAATATTTCATGGTTACCCACTAATTAAAGGGGAACTGTCACTTCCCAGTATTTATAATAGTATGTTTACTTATCCCTTATATTTAACAAATACGTATCTGTGAGTCGTGAAAAATAGAATTAAACGTAGAAATCCCCACGTCTTTATCCTGCAACGTGGCTCCTCAATCTTCGCTCCTTATCACTCATTATTTTAAACTCTGTCCTTAGCGCCTGGTAATCAGCATAAAGATAATGTACAGAGGGGAGGAGAAATTACACAATGTTTCAATTTCTTCTCATATCCCCTAACTGTGCCTGGATTTAACTGAATGTTGTGATTTGTAAAAATTTGAATACGTGGCATCACATCAGTGTTAATTTTGGTAGCAAATTTCAATGTAGTTTTAATAATAGTCTTTTGACTAAAAAGCCATTTTAGTCGTATTTTAGTCATCTGAATTGTTTTAGTTTTAGTCTAGTTTTAGTTGACTAAATCTCCAGTAGATTCTTGTCGACTAAATCTCCACTAATGGGCTTAGTTAAAGCCTCTATCTGTCTCTTTTGTCCCTTCCCCAGCCCCTCTGTGTCTCTTTTGCCTAGTTTCCACTGAGTGGAACAGTTTGGGTCAGGTGAGCGTTTCCACTGCAAGTTGGACCGCCAGGGCGACAACAAATGTGACGCTACAAAGAACAAAAATGGAGGTCATCCAGCAGCTCGTCTTTGCTCTGCTTGGCTTTTGGTTCTTTGTAGTTACAATACATGCGGCACTGTATGAGAGAAGGTTGAGGAAACCTTTTCATACCTTTGTGCAAGGCTACGTACAGCGATGGAGAAGGAAAGCACCAACTTCAGAGCCAGTTTGCCTGTGAGGAAAAGAGTTGCCATTGCACTGCGGAAGCTGGCTACCAACAGTGACTACAAAAGTATCGGTCATCTTTTTGGTGTCAGTAAATCATCAGTGTGCCGGTGTGTGCAGGACTTGTAAAGACATGAAGCACAGTATTGCCTAAGTACTAATATACTTACCCAGTGGAAGAAGAAGAATGTTACACTGTATACAATTTTAAATAAAAAGTATACAAACGTAGCCAGGATTCAGCTGTAAGCATTTGCAACACTTACCACTCTCTGATTGGTGGATTAAGTAACCAATCAGAGTGTTATGAGTCAAATTACACAGCGTGGGAAAATTCCAAAGAACTTTCCCACGCTGTGTAAAATGACACAGAGCACTCTGATTGGTGGATTTCAAACCAACCAATCAGAGTGCTGTGACAGGTAAATGTAGAGACTTACCTGTCAGTCTCTTCATTTACCTGTCAGAGCACTCTGATTGGATGGCTTAAACCCACCAATCAGAGTGCTCTGAGCCTAATTGCAGGGCAGGGCAAGGCTTTATAAGCCTTGCCCCGCCCTGCAGAGCTCAGTCTGCGCGGAGCCCTCGCCGGGTGAAGATGGATTATTATTTTTTTGCGCTCGTTTTTTTTTTTTTCTTTTTCTTTAAGTGCGTCGGTTATTATGGCTTTTTATTTGGCCTTTTTTGGGGCTGAAAGAAGAAGATTTTAGAAGAAAGAAAACATCAAATGGTAAGGTTTTTTTGTTTTTTTCAGGTACTTAGTTAAATGGTCCCCCCTCATTATTTTTGGGGTGAGGGGGGTAGGTAGCGGTTAATTTTTGGGGGGAGGCTGGGTGACTAGGGGTTTGGGGACCCCTAGTCACCCGGGGAGGGGGGGTTATTTTTTCATTTAGGGCCCCCACCCACCCTCAGGGGTGGGGGCCAGGGAGGAGGACATTAGGTCCCCCCAATTAGTATTTAGGGCCCCCACCCACCGCTCAGGGGTGAGGGCTGGGGGAGGACATTAAGTCCCCTCCAATTAGTATTTTAGGGCCCCCAGCCACCGCTCAGGGGTGGGGGCCAGGGGGGAGGACATAAGATCCTCCCCCCTCATTCTAATTTAGGGCCCCCACCCACCGCTCAGGGGTGGGGGCCAGGGGGGAGGACATTAGGTCCCCCCCAATTAGGCAATAGGCCCCCCTGGGGCTCAGGAGGGGGGATCCATTTTTTTTTTAACAGTGAGCAGCCACTGGCTGCTCACTGTTTAATAGACATGCCCCTACTCGCGGTATAGCGAGTAGGGGCACAATTTACTAATACTAAGTAATTTTTACTTAGTATTAGTAAATGTGGCTGAAAGACCAATTTAGGTCTTTCAGCCTTTTGGTAGATAACTCCCTAATACTGTGGAATTTAGGGAGTTATCTACCAAGCGGCTGCAAGAGACATTCTGAAATTCCTAAGTCCCAAAGTGCCAAAGTTCCGAAGGGCCGAAGTTGCCGAAGTTCCGAATTGCCCAAGTGCCGAATTGCCGAGGTCCCGGAATTACCGAATTTCCAAAGTGTCGAAGTGCCGAATTGCCGAAGAGCCGAATTGTCGAAGTCCCGAATTTTGGAATACCGAACCGAAAATTTTTCCCATGCACATGTCTACTTGCTGTGTTCTTCACAATCTTTGTGAAAGTCGTGGAGAAGACTTCCACCAGAAATGGGATACATCTGCCGAAGTGTCATTATGGGTAATAGCACGGGATAGCGAAAAAGAGTGCAGGGAAGTATGTCATGCTCTGATGCGGCACCTCAAGATTTAATTTTATACCATGATTTTTTTTAAGTTTTACATTTAATCAGACACACCCACAGTCTCTCCAGATTTTTATTCCCCAAAAAATTATCTTTCAAAATAAAATTACAAATAAACAATATATATATATATATATTTTTTTTTTAAATAAACAATTACAAAAAATAAAAATTACAAAATTAAGTGTACAGGTCCTGTGCTGGCTGAAAGGCACTACTGCCTGGGTGGTGACATGGGATCACGACTGCCTCCCAGCACTTGAACAAGCTGCAAAAGGACACAGAGGAAGGACTGGTTGAAGGTAGCCAACTCCTCCATTTCTGCCTCCTGGTGCCTCGCTTCCCGGGAATGCTGACGCAGTGCGTGAACCCACCGCTCAGAAAGGTTCTCCATTCTTTCCTGCTGCCTTTCATCTGCTGCCCGCATCTCTTCCATGACTGTGCGCACATCCAACTGCAACCATCTCCTATCACCTGGAATATACAAAAGACCAGAATGGTGGTTTTTTTTGGCAATGGTACAAAAACTAGGTGGATATATATTAGCTAACATAATGTAAATAAAGAACAGATATAACACATAAGAACTGTGTAAAGACAAATTAAAATAAACTCAATAAACACAATATATACAAGAGAAGCTCTAAACACAATGAAGTAAATTAAATAGCAGTATATGTAGACAATGTACAATTATGATTATGGATTTGATCATACAAACATAAACTACACAGGAATTTTGAGTGAGTTTACAGTTTAATTAAATTAAAAGTTAGGAAAATGCCCAATTACAACTTTCACTCTGATCATCATGTCTTACCAGTGTGTTGATGCCGGGGTGCATTGGGCGTAATCTTTGGTTGGGTTGGTGTTGAATCCATCATACTGGCGCTACTGAATGACTTAGATGGACCATCGTCATCAAAGGCCCTCATCACTGAAGAGGCCCTCAACTGTATCTGAAAATGCACAGCTTACGAGTTTGATACACAAACAACGAGAATAATACATGATGTTAACCATTAACTATCTTAAATGGCAGTAAGCATCAGGTAGTAAACAATGGGATGCTGAGCTAGTAAACAATGAGATGCTAGCTACCATACCCTTTCCTTTCCTTCCACTGTACAAATAAAATGTGTTTTTTGTGCAAAGAGTGAATGGTTTTGTGCAGTGATTTTTATAAATGGTTAGCAGAGCTAAAGCCAATGCCAAGTGGAAAAAATACTTACCAACAGGCTCCATAATTGATTCGAGAAGTGCAGACACCGAGTCCAGACATCCCTCCCTGCCTTGGTTGGCCGGCCTTTGACAGTAAATGGCGTCTATAGCGTTGTACCACCTCCAAGTACTTTGACTGTTTCCATTACGGCTGCTGGCGTCCTTAATTTTTTTATATTGGCCTTTTAGCTTCTTAAGCTTTACCCTATACTGAACCGACGTCCATTCAAATCCTTCAGCTACCATCCGCTGAGAAATATCTCTATACAGCCTTTTTACCTATTTTGTTACATTACAGACTTAAGTTCAATGTTTTATTAATCTGAATTTTATGTGGTGGATCAGAACACAATAGTCTAATTTGGTGAAGTGAAATGAGAAAAATATATACATAAAGCTATTTTTTAGAAAATAGAAAACAGAAAATTGGCATGTGCGTATGTATTCACCCCCTTTGTTATGAAGCCCATAAAAACCTCTGGTGCAACCAATTACCTTCAGAAGTCACATAATAAGTAAGGGACAATGTTGTTGAGAAGTACAAGTCAGGGTTAGGTTATAAAAAAATATCCAAATATTTTATGATCCCCAGGAGCACCACCAAATCTATCATAACCAAATGGAAAGAATATGGCACAACAGCAAACCTGCCAAGAGAGGGCCGCCCACCAAAACTCATGGACCAGGCAAGGAGGGCATTAATCAGAGAGGCAGCATAGAGACCCAAATTAACACTGGAGGAGCTGCAGAGTTCTGGAGTATCTGTAAATAGGATAACAATAAGCCGTGCGCTCCATAGAGTTGGGCTTTATGGCAGAGTGGCCAGAAGAAAGCCATTACTTTCAGCAAAAAACAAAATAGCATGTTTTGAGTTTGCGAAAAGGCATGTGGGAGACTCCCAAAATGTATGGAGGAAGGTGCTCTGGTCTGATGAGACTAAAATCCCCACAGTGAAATATGGTGGTGGCAGCATCATGCTGTGGGGATGTTTTTCAGCAGCCGGGACTAGGAAACTGGTCAGAGTTGAGGGAAAGATGGATGGTGCTAAATACAGGGATATTCTTGAGCAAAACCTGTACCACTCTGTGCGTGATTTGAGGCTAGGACAGAGGTTCACCTTCCAGCAGGACAATGACCCCAAACACACTAAAGCAACACTTGAGTGGTTTACGGGGAAACATGTAAATGTGTTGGAATGGCCTAGTCAAAGCCCAGACCTCAATCCAATAGAAAATCTGTGGTCAGACTTAAAGGACCACTATAGTGCCAGGAAAACATACTCGTTTTCCTGGCACTATAGTGCCCTGAGGGTGCCCCCACCCTCAGGGACCCCCTCCCGCCCGGCTCTGGAAGGGGAAAAGGGGTTAAAATTACCTTTTTCCAGCGCTGGGCGGGGAGCTCTCCTCCTCCGATCCTCCTCCGTTCCTCCTCCTGGGCTGAATGCACACGCGCGGCAAGAGCTGCGCGCGCATTCAGCCCGTCGCATAGGAAAGCATTTACAATGCTTTCCTATGGACGCTTGCGTGCTCTCACTGTGAAAATCACAGTGAGAAGCACGCAAGCGCCTCTAGTGGCTGTCAACGAGACAGCCACTAGAGGATTAGGGGGAGGCTTAACCCATTCATAAACATAGCAGTTTCTCTGAAACTGCTATATTTATGAAAAAATGGGTTAACCCTAGAAGGACCTGGCACCCAGGCCACTTCATTAAGCTGAAGTGGTCTGGGTGCCTAGAGTGGTCCTTTAAAGATTGCTGTTCACAAGCATAAACCATCCAACCTGAAGGAGCTGGAGAGGTTTGCAAAAAGGAATGGGCAAAAATCCCAGTGGTAAGATGTGGCAAGCTCATCGAGACTTATCCAAAGCGACTTAGAGCTGTGATTACCGCAAAAGGTGGCTTTACAAAGTATTGACTTTAGGGGTGTGAATAGTTATACACTTTGACTTTTTCAGTTATTTTGTCCTATTTGTTGTTTGCTTCACAATAAAAAAAAAAAGTCTTCAAAGTTGTGGGCATGTTCTGTAAATTAAATGATGCAAATTCTCAAACAATCCATGTTAATTCCAGGTTGTGAGGCAACAAAATACGAAAAATGCCAAGGGTGTGAATACTTTTGCAAGGCACTGTATACACCTTTTCATTTCTCACTGATCCATCAAGCTCACTCTGAATAACGCTATCGCCAATTATAGTTAGGAAAGTGGATAGTTCCTAAGCCAACCAGACCTTGCTGTTGTTTGCAGGCATCCTTCTCCTATTATCTGGAGTGAATGGCGATGTTTTGTTTGTTTTGCGCTTGTCTTTGATGTGAGCAGTGGCGTTTTTCTGTCTGCCAATCAATGGAATGTATCGTGTGATGCCAGTAGCTCCACCCTGACCATACCATACCATTTCGTATGGACCTACAACTGAAGGGGGCCCAGGAATGGTGCGGCTTACTTCGGTTGCACGGGTCACTTTTATAATGGAAACACTCAAAATAGCGTACCAAACCATACTGACCCAAACCGTTCCCTTCTAGGTATCTCTCTATTAAGCCCCGGTCTGTCTCTTTTGCTCCTTCCACAGCCCCTTTTAATTTTGGTGGCAAATTTCAATTCAGTTTTAGTCATCTTTTTTTCACTTAAAAGGCAATTTTAGTTTTAGTCATATTTTAGTCATCTGAATTGTTTTATTCGACTAAATCTCAAAAGATTTACCAAGCTGACTAGAATTGACTAAAATAGTCAACAAAATTAACCCTGCATCACATAAAGAAAAAGTTAATACAAGCTATAGGTGATTTTCATTGTTTTATTCAATGATGACCTCTCTTTATGAGTGAATGCATAAATATGTACTTCCTCATACAGCATATTTTCTAAGACTGAGGCAATAATGTAACTATATGATATATTTTCAGGTTTTATTTTACCTTTTCTCCCCATTTCAATGCAACTTTGGGTTTTCACTGCCTAAGCACTTAAACCCAGTTCCAGTATGAAGAGAAATCATGGCTCCATAGAACGTTCTGTCATCTTCCTTGCTACAATGCCCAGTCAGTGCCTCAGTCAGCAAAAGTGAACTGATGTTGGAGTCAGGTAAACCCTCAAATCATAAATAATTTAAATCATCTCCCAACAGGTAAACAAGCATAAGAGCGAATGTAATCAGCTCCTTCACTCAAACTGCACATAGAAGCATTTAAAAAGAGAACTCAGAACTGTGTAGATAATGCACATTATAATATATATGTTAAACCCTCATAGGGACATCATAGTAAAGTTGATATTGTTGCAGCCAGATTAAAAAGCTTTGTACATATGGGCAGCCTTTTCTCACCGATACATGCTGAAGAATATTGAGGAATACATCACTATTGTAAAATTGAGGGTTTTTTACTACATTTTTGGGGGAAATAAAGGGACTTCCAAGCTTCCAAGCATTGTGCTCCACATACTGGTCCACCTAGACTCTATTACCATGAATAACAATACCTACAGGAGATGTATAGACGTTATTCCCAACATGCTGGCTCCTTAAAAGTAGTGGTAATTGGGGTACATGTGTCCAAGAACATGAACTTTAAAGTTGATAACTATTAGTACAGGGAGCACAGTGGAACGTCCTTCCTATATTGGAAGAAGTATTAGACATTCTTTGTTTGACAGATTCTTCCACCACATGATCTAGCTTTCACTCAGCTATTTAGCTACCATTCTCTACTTTTGTACCTTCCATTATTTAGTCCTTTTACTTATTGCTTCTCTTGACTGTAGGTTTCCTTACAAGATCTGTGTGCACAGCAGCATGGCTTTACCTTGTTATGTGCTATAATTCTATAGCTAGGGTACCATATAATTTGAGGCATCAATTCTGTTCAATTTTTATTTTTTTCATAATTAAATGTATTTGCAATAAGCCATATGGGATATAAAAGAAGTAGCATTTCATGTCATTTAAAAATAAAAATCTGCACTGGCTTGGAAAACCTGCAGTGTCCCTGGAGCTATTTTTGTCCTCTTTATGCCTTATTAAATACAGGCAACTTTCCTCTTTCCTGGCATTCGTTTGCCTTTCGGTTCCTGTAGTTGTGTTCTGCAGCTCGGCCTTGCTATGCTAACCTTGCACTCAGCATTCTACCTGCTGCCTAATTGTTCTGGAAATCATTGAAGTGAGATTTGTGAGTAAGGGACATTTAGGGAATTACCCGGTCAACTTGTTCTGGGTTTCGCTATTCAGGGCACCATTGAAACATTATATTTGTTAGGATGGGAGTCGGTAATTATTGAACGTTTATCACAAATTAACAACAGTGTTGCTGTAATAGTTTGATTAATAGAGTGTACCACTAAAACAACTACGTTCATCAGTCACTTACTCACCTAACAATTTGCACACACTATCTGCATGTAGTCTGCTAGCAAAACTTCCACACTCACCCAGCATGCTCTGCTGAGAGAAGAGCATACTTGGTGGTTGTGGTAGTGCGCAGCTTTACGGCTAGGCAGTTTTGCTTCGAAGCCTTCTCTCCTTTCTCCGGCTATTGAAGGTAATGTTGGGTGACATACTGACATATGAGGGCTGATATTGCAAATCACGCAAGCATTGCTACTCAGTGCTGCTAAAGGAATAGGCGGCGGAGCCATTCATATGCTATATTGCTGCCGCTGTCTGATGCTGGCAGTGAGCTGTAGTGGTTATGGTGCTTGGTGGGTTCTTTCAAAGCAAGACCCCACATTTAGATGATTAGGTGAACTTTGGTGGTAATTTCAATTTCTGCATTCATTTTCTTTTCTTGTGTTAATCACAGTTTTGTAAGTTTTTGTTATGGTTGGAGAATGGAAATAAAATGAGCAAGTTACTACTATATTCTTGCTACAACATATATCCATTCTTCACATAGACACATAACATGGGGTTTTATTCACTAATTCTACTTGCAACATTTAAGCAAAAAAGCGCTGATCCAGAAAATAAAACCTCAAACTCAGCTATGGTTACAGCTTGACTTGATAGTAACCAAATTGTGTAGCTGGTAAATAAATTGCAATATATATCATTTTTGTCAAATGCCCAGATAAAAAAAATATATATATATATATATATAAAAAAAATACTTGAATACAGAAACACAAATTTTACAACAAAAGAAAACTAATTAGAAAAAAACAAAAAACTATTTCAGATGAGAAAAATTAAGGTATGTTTCTTTTACTTGGCAACATTTTATCTTGGGTACAAGAGAAAAAGCTCTCATCATCATAAAACGGAACAAACACACTAATATCGAACATTCTCTTTTGGCAGTGGTGATCTACAAAGTGTTTTTAAGCACACATTTTGTAAACCGAGTAACTGGAAAGGAAGTGAAAGGAGTTCATGACAGTACAAGGTTTGTTGGTCTTGCAACCTTAGTGCTATATAAACCATGTCCTGAATGATGAACTGGTGGGGTCAGGAAAGCTGATTTCAGCAGACTTCCTTTAATGCCAGAGATAGAAGCAGGAAATCCTGTTTTTAGGAGCTAGGAAAGCCTTAAAAAAAAAAAGAAAAAGAAAAGAAAACTCTTTGTTGCTGAAGTCCTAACAATAGCAGCCACAAGTGATTAATTCATGTGTCTAGAGTCACCAGCAGAGAACAGAAAGAAAGCTTTCAATATAATAACCAGCACGCATCAGCAGAATTGGAATGTGGCATCCATGGAACAAATAACTGGTTCTAGATATTTATATATTTATAAAATATTTTATCAGGAAGGATACATTGAGATTTCTCTCGTTTTCAAGTATGTCTCCTTACAGAATTATAATCTCTTTTTAAATATATTTCCAGATTGCAATTAAAAGGGCAGTGACTGGGGGGGCAGAGCTGACCAGCAAACCGAACAGACAGACGTGCTGAGCTGTTGCTCCGTATCGCCGAGCAAATAAAACACAGTTAAGCAGGTATTACACCGACGGAAAACCATTCCTCACCTCTATAACACGATGGGAAAACAGGCCAGAAAGGTTGAAGTTGCTCTGGGCTCTGGATCCCGAAATATTGGTGATTATATGCATGGAGGCCTCTCGCACGTAGTGCCCAAAATGGCGGAGCAACATGAGGAGAACTTGTCGTCCGAGAAAGAACCCTCCATGGATAACTTGTATGACATCCTCGCGACTGGCCGTCTGCATCTGGAGTCCTCGGACGAGGACACCAACACTCCAGCCACAAAGGGCAATATAAAAACATTGCTGCATGATATCTGCACAATGTTCCAGGCGGACCTAGCGATACTTCGAGAGGACATCATAATCTTGTTGTGAAAGGTTTAAATCCCAGCTGGTCTACACATATTTTTATCTATCTGTCATTGATGAAATTAGTACTTTGCGTGACCTACAAAAGGTACCTGGTCTCCTTACATATTACAGTATGGGATTTATTCGCTAGACCAAGAAGTGTAATTTTGCTGTAATTTTAACACAAAAACAAATGAATCCATAATTAAAGGAAAATTGTCACAACAAAACTATGTTTAATATAATAATAATAACTTCATTAAGTATTGAAAGGAAATGAATTTCTTTCTAAATAAAGTAGATGTTAAAACAAAAACAAATTTATAAAAACATATTCCTCCTTTAGCTCACAAGGAGAATCAAGGCCACAGAGGAAATGTCCTCACACCTAACGGCTGAGCAGTTTTTAATTGCTGCAGAACAGAAGCAGATCAAGGTATCCCATGCAAACATGGTACAAAATATGGCCGAATATGAAGACTGCAGCCACAGTTAAAATGTTAAGATCAGAGACGCCTTCTACAGCACTTACTACCTCACAAGCAGGATAAAAGCTAACAGGCTAAAAGCAACCTAGTAGATAATATCTACAAAATCTGCATGCAGGGCTGGCCACCCCAGCTGGCACCCAGCAGTGTCATAGTTACCTAGACAAGATCGCAGTTATGAGAGCGGTGCAGTGGTGAGGGACTTACCCTCCCTGGCCTTCAAGCACACACTCTCTCATGCTACAATGATTTGTCCATGTCCACCATGCTCTGGAGGCAATCGATGCACCCTGTTATCAGGGTGCTGCGGAAACAGAAGATTCCATATCACTGGGGCTCACCACGCTCCTTACAGGCTACCCTTGATGACACACAAGTTACTATGACATGTTTTGGAAAGAGGCAGAGCCGTCACTATACAGTATTACAATTAATATTTCCATCTTGGTATCTGGTATTACTACCAAAATTATGTTTTGACTACTCTACCAATAAATTTATATTTTACCATAACTATTTCATATCCTCTTCATGGGGACCCATGGCATTCTGAAATATCATGTGATAAATAGTCAAGGGCCAAATTTAGCATTTCCACAAAAAAATCCCATATTCTATGCTAAGGTCTAGAAAAAACAAAAGGTTTATGAAATTACTCATTATTCCTAAAGAGTTTTTATGTGTCTTTTACCAACCAGACGTACATTTTTTCACTTGGCATGTTCAACTAATTCTGACTAAAGTACTTCAAAGCTATAGCAGAGAGTAGCAAACTACATCATTCTGCTTCATTGCTGAAACATACGTGCATAATAAATGTATACTTATTTAAAACTTGCTGTAGCACCAGGAGTAATCAGATAGGGTCCAAAAGTTGGCTCTGCAGTATTCTAATAGTTTTTAACACCACAACAACAGGCCCAATACTTTAGGTTTTGGTGACCACAAACCTTCCAAGAGGAGTTATTAAACACATTAACAGGACCATTTGGTGATTTCGACACCTAAAAGAACCTGAGATACCTTTTTAAGAAATAACCAATAACCTAAAATAATGTATTAGCACATGAACAACAGAACAAGCACCAAAAATACCTCCCCTAACTTGATGTGTACTAGAGATTCCGTATTAATTAATTAGAACAATTAAGGACAGATATACGCTGTAACTTCAATGGAGACATGAGCATCAGAACTGAACCATGGAGCAATGGAAGAAGGTTGGCTGGTCTGAAGAATCATATTTTCCTTTTGTTTCGTTTTAGATCAGGATAGCCTGGCGTGCAACAGATGATAGTAGGATGCACAATAGGAAGAAGGAAGGCTGGCGGAGGCAGTGTCATGCTCTGGATCCTGGTATTCATGTGGATGTTACTTTGACATGTACCACCTACCTAGAGATTCTTGCAGACCACGTACTCCCCGTAATGGCAATGGTGTTCCCTGATGGCAGTGGCTCCTTTCAGCAGGATAAAACCAGGCAACCAGTCAGAAAACACTATTGAGCAGCTACTGTCAACTGATTGTAATGCACCTCTAAGAATATTATGGGACTAAAAAATTTACAGAAACAGGGTACAAAATTAGAGGAAGATATTAATTAGGTAAAAAGGCAAGAACTTGAACGTCTCAGATGAAATATTAGTTTATAAAAGAGCTGATTTCTCTTGGAATCAGTGATTTTATAACATAATATTTGTAGGGATATGTTAATTACCCCTAAAGCACTTCAAGTTTTGGAGCGTTTATTTAATTCCTTTAATTAGCAGTGATTTCCCAGTATACACAGGATCATAACCTTACATATTGGCAAGAGAATTTGTTTGGGGCCTGAACGCAAAATGTAAGCCTTCTCTGTTAAAAGTTCAGTGGGCTAAGGTATCTGCTGTAGACATCTGCTCATAACCTTGTTGTAAAAGGTTTAAATCCCAGCTGGTCTACACATATTTTTATTTATCTGTCATTGCTGAAATTAGTACTTTGCATGACCTACAAAAGGTACCTGGTCTCCTTACATATTACAATATGGGATTTATTTGCTAGACCAAGACGTGTAATTTTGCTGTAATTTTAAAACAAAAACAATTGAATCCATAATTAAAGGAAAATTGTCACATCAAAACTATGCTTAATATAGTAATAATAACTTCATTAAGCATTGAAAGGAAATTAATTTCTTTAAATGAAGTAGATGTTAAAAAAATATATATATAAAAATTATAAAAACATATTCCTCCTTTAGTATACGACAGTATCCTTCAGCCATATACATGCACCTTGGGTCAGATAGATTTGAAAACAGTTAGTCTCTATGGTCTTCCCTGCTTTTACTACCTGCACAGAAGCAGGGAAAACCATAGAGACGGTCTGAGCCAAGGTACTTGTATTTGTCTGAATGATCCTGTCATACACTATAGGTACGAATTATTTTTTCTCATATTTTAGAAATACTTTATTTAAAAAAATCTCTTTACTTTCAAAGCTTGATGACAGGATTATTATATTAAAACATTTTTTGAGATGACAATTCGTTAAGCTTGCAAATATTCAAATTTGTCTCTCTGTGCAATTTTTCAGTCCCCTTCTTATTTCTCCAAAATGTCTATTTCAGTGAATAAAACCTTAAGAACTAAGGGTGGTTTCTTGCCCGGTCACACACTGAATTAAACACACACCCACTCTTTTATTGTAATGCATGTATGTTTTGCTTTGCTCTCTCAGGAGACGTTCAAATATGTTTTCTGCAGAGTTGCCATAGAGAACATGATATGCATGTATCCCGGACGCACTACCCTCTGTGAATGAAGGGACTCCTGTGTATTCTTTAGAATACTGTTATATTGCTCTCAAAATGTCTTCAATCATCAATCACACGTGGTTGGAAATATCCTTCTGATTGAATATCTGACATGCACTAACAATATCTGCCCACTACCACTTGTTCTTAATCCAATGATATAATAAAATATATATTTCAAATGCTATTTCAGTGAAAAGCGAGGAACCCTGGCCTTTGTGAACTTGGCCTCTAACAAATTGGTGCTTAGCCACAATAACATAAATAGATAATGCGGTTTACTTACGACACAAGGCTAATGCTCGGCAGACTTTAAATATTTGGACATATTATGCACAGCATTCAAGAGGATGTTTACAAAGGAGGAATGATGTATTAGTACTGGATAGGTAAGCTGCCAAAATACAAATAGCTTGCCTAGTTACTGTACTTCAATGTAACCAAAAGGTGTTAAACAGAAGATTTTTTTTTAAAACAGAAGATGTTTCACTTAAAATGCCTGCTAATTGAGCAAAATCAATAAATAAGTTTATAATTAGCAGCAAAGTACTTTTATTTTCAAATAATCCAAATTTTAATTCTAATATTAATTAGGTTTACTAACCGTCCCATTCCTAACTGTTTAAATAACTAGGGACCTTTTTTAAATGGACATTATAGTCACCAGAACCACTGCTGGTTAATGTCTATAGCCTGTAACTGCAGCCGTAGCACTGTAAACACTACCTTTTCAGAGAAAAGGCAGTGTTCACATTGCTGCATAGTAACACCTCTAGTGAAAGTCACTAAGATGGTCACTAGAGCTGCTTTCTAGTCCAGTGTTGCACAGTACTGGCTTTCAGGGTCTGCATGCTCTGCATGGAGGCGCTGTACTTTCTCCACATAATCAATGCATCTCTATGAGGAGATGATGATTGGTAGAGCACAGCATTTTGCCATGCATGCGTAATAAGACTCCTTTGAATTTCCTATGGGAAAGCATTGGATTGAGATAATCAAGATTGATGATCTTAGCCATGGAGGCAGAGCCAGGCACAACCAGCTATGGAGAGACCGGCGGTGTGTAGGAAAAAAGGTTAGTAAAATCACCTCTAATCTCCACAGGCAGGGAGGCCGAGAACATAAATGGCAAGTTCTGCACTGTAGTGTCAGGAATACATGTTTATATTACTGACACTATAGTGTTCCTTTAATTTAGTATTATTTTGCTTTGTGGTATTTCAGATATCAGAGATCTTTATTAAAGAAACATTCGCACTACCATAAAAACTTTAGCTAATTGAAGTTATTATGGGGCAAGTCCTGTCTTGGCACCTTACTTCCTTCTTCCCAGCTGTAGAAGTATGAGGTAAGCCAGGCAACCGGGGATATGCAATGGGCATCAGCTGACACTATTAGCGGATGAACAGGTGCCTGGCAAAACCTTCCTCACACTGTGTAGGCAGAGAGCAAGGAAGACGAGGCAGCAGTGTTGGTGCTAAGGGAAAAACTTGAGGATTAAAACTTTGAAAAATTACCTTTTGGATTTTATCAATGACTTAAAGTGACACCCATATTCCATATCCCACCTACATATATCTCTCTGGTAACATCCCAAACTCCACCCA